ATCGAGTGGAGATTGATGCACAGCCACCTGCCAAGCCCTACAGCAGTCCCTCAGTTGCTGCTGCCACCACCTCAGTAAGACTTCATCCTGGTACATCTGCATCTCCTTACACCTGGCATTGTCGTTACGGTCACCCTGAAGAGTCTAGCATCACACGCATGCAAGCACATGCAAGTGTTGATGGTCTCATCATCTCCAAGCAGTTGTCATCATCTCAGTCATCATGCCACACTTGTGTTGAGGCTAAGCTTCCTCGTCATCCTTTCTATTCTTCTGAGTCTGAAGTCTCTCAACCGCTTGAGCTTATTCATAGTGACCTGATGGGTCCTTCCCGTACACCAAGTCGTACTGGGAAAAGATATGTAATGTCACTCATTGACCATCATACAAAATTTGCTTGGATCTCTCTTCTTGGATCTAAAGATGAAGCTCCCGGTATTATCCAGTCCTGGTTTCCTTATATTGAGCGTCAGTTGGGTCTCAAGGTCAAAATTTTTCGCTCTGATCGTGGAGGAGAGTACATGTCTAACTCTTTCCGCTCTTTTCTTGCCAACCTTGGAGTTGAACAGCAATTGTCATGCACAGCAACACCTCAACAAAATGGTACTGCTGAGAGGTACAACCGTACGATTCAAGAGATCTCAAGAAGTTTTCTCCCCCACATGAATCTAGATGACTCATGGTGGGGAGAAGCTGTTACACATGCTGCTTGGGTCAAGAATCGTCGACTGACAAGCTCCATTGCTGAGGGTATTACACCCTATGAGGCATTATATGGCATAAAGCCAAATGTGTCCATGCTACGAGTATTTGGCTGCATGGGTCAGTACAAAGTGCTAGATGACAAACGCAGCAAGTTTGAAAGTAAGGCAGCATGGGGCATGCATCTGGGCATGGCCAAGGAGAGTAAAGGCTGGTTAATGTGGGATCCTCTCCTCAAAAGAGACATTGTGTCAAGGGACGTGATCTTCTATGAAGACATGTCCCCTTCTTCTTGGAAACTTTCTTTTCCTCTTGTTTCCTCTCAAGTTCCTCCCTTCTCTACCTTTGCAGATTTCGAACCTCCAACAATCATACTAAGTGAAGTTCCTGCATCATCACCGCAGCAGCAACACGAAGACATGTCTCATGCTCAAGACCAACAACCACCTCCATCATCTTCTGCACCCACCTCTCATCATCAAGAGCAACAGCAGCAGCAGCCACCACCACCTCCATCACAACAAAACCAGTCAACTGCTCCACCTGTTCTTTCATCTCATCCTCCTCCTCAACCCCCAATTAATTCGCTTCAGCAGCAGCAACAACAACCATCTCCACCCAATTTACCTCCTCCTCTTCAATCTTCCCCCACTCACCAGCAGGACCAGCAGCAGCAACAACACCCCTCTGCCACTCACTCTCTTCACCCGTCACTTCCGCCTCTCGTCGTTCATCGACCAAGTGGTTATCGACCAGCAGCCCTTCTTCACCTTCCAGACCATCTTCAACACGTACCGTCAACCGTGCAGCCACCACCAACACAACAGCACACATCTTCCCATCTCCAGCACCTGCATTCGACAACTCCGACTGATAGAATTTCATCAGAAGATCATTCTCAACCGGCAGCACCACCTCCCTCACCCAACCGAATCGACATCAACTACCCACCAGTGATGAGCACGTCGCACGTTGCAGCACCATCTTCATCTTCTTCGTCATCAGCGCACTTCACCTCTCATGTGCCGGTGTCCACTTTCATCTCAACCCCAGGTCATTTGTGTAGCGGTCGCACCTGCTTCCAATGCAGGATTCACGCCACCTGTTTCGCCATTTCCCAACTTCCACCCGAGCCTCTCAATCGCAAGGAAGCTATGGCAGGAGCCTTTAAGGAGCAGTGGTTAGCAGCGGAAAAGGCAGAACTGGAAAGTTTGCTTGACCGAGGGACTTGGACTTTGGAGCCACTACCCAAGGGAAAGAAGCTTGTGGGAGTTAAATGGGTCTACCGGGTGAAGGTGAAGGGTGATGGATCTTTGGACAAGTTCAAGGCTCGTTTGGTCGCCAAAGGATATTCTCAAGTTCCTGGAGAAGACTACAATGAAACGTTTGCTTCAGTCGCCAAGTTTACCAGTGTACGCGCTCTTCTTGGTATGGCAGTACGAATGGATTTCTACATCATCCAGCTGGACGTCTCCAACGCCTTTCTCTACGGCATTTTAGAGGAAGAAATCTACACGGCTCAACCTGATGGGTATCATGATGGCACTGAGAGAGTCTGCAGGCTGCACAAGTCCCTGTATGGCCTGAAGTAAGCTCCACGGGTTTGGTATCACGCGTTAGAGTCTGCCTTGCTGGCACAAGGTTTCACACAGTCTGAGTATGACCCTGCCCTCTACATCCTGCACACGGAGGTGCATGAGGTACTGTGGTTGATAGTGTATGTGGATGACATCCTCATGGTGTTAGGTTCTCTCTCCCTTCTCACCCACATCGAAGGTATGCTCACCAAGGAGTTTGTCATGACAGACATGGGTGAGCCATCATATTACCTTGGCATGAACATCATTCGTGACCGTCCTTCTCGCTCTCTATTTCTTTCCCAAGAGCGATACATTCACAAGGTCCTCTCTCGCTTCGGCCTTCTCACTTGCAATCCTGCATCTACACCTGTCCCTTCTATTTTTCAGCATTCTTCCCCTTCCACTTCTGACCATCAGCCCTCTCAGACTGAACCCTTTTCTGACTGGGACGAGTTCCACGAGGCTCTTGCACCTTCATCCTCTTCATCCCCTTCTTCTTCCAACGCACCTCCTTCATCACTCCTTTCCCCTCTCGACATTAATCTTTACCAGAGCATTGTCGGTAGCCTCATGTACGCATCCGTCTGCACTCGCCCAGATCTCTCTCATGCTGTGGGCGTGCTTTCTCAGTTCCTTTCCGCGCCATCTACTCAGCACTTGAATGCTGCGAAGCGTGTCCTGCGCTACCTCTCCGGATCTAAATCTTTTGGTCTCTTCTTTCATGGACATGAGCATGGTAGTGTCTTGCATGGTTTCACGGATGCGGATTGGGCAGGTCCTCTTTCAAAGCGGAAGTCCACTGGCGGCTACATGTTTGTGATAGCGGGAGCAGCCATTTCTTGGCAATCGAAGAAGCAAAGCTGTGTGGCATTATCTTCAACGGAGGCGGAGTACATGGCTGTGACGCAAGGAGCAAGAGAGGCTGTGTGGTTGAGAGGGTTGCTGACGGAGTTGGGTCTTCCCCAGCATGAGCCGACCATTCTTCACATTGACAACACATCGGCGATCGCCTTGAGCAAGAACCCGGTCTATCATGGACGCACAAAGCACATTGATACCCAGTATCACTACATTCGAGAGCTGATCAAGAACAAAGTTGTGGCACCGGCCTACTGCAGCACCACGGACCAGGCTGCTGACTTCCTGACTAAGATCCTCCCCCGGCACCTCTTTCTTCTTGGCCGCCACCGTGCCGGTTTGATGCCGATCGAGTCTCTTGAGTGCTTCTCCACTGCTGTCCCTTCCGCTCCTTCTTCTCGCTCGGAGGGTCAGCAGTGCGGGGGGGTGTTGAAATGAACTGCTGCTGCTGCTCGCGTGGCACCAGGGTGGCGGGAAAATTTTCACGTGGCGAAAATTTTCGCCACAGTTTCCCCGTCAGCCAAAATTCGAATCTGCAAAGGGCATCTACCAACATTACCCATTCGCCACTTCATCATCCTTATCTCCAGTCAGCAAGGCACACTTCCATTTTCACCCAATACAAATCCTTCAATCCTCCACCTCATCTCTTCTCCAATCCTCCTCAACCTTCTCATCCCAAACTCCACCAATCAATCCAAAGATTCCCTACCAAGCCTTAAATCAAAGCCCCATTCATTCCAATCACCAAGCCTTAATTTCAAGGCCACATTCATCCCACTCACCAAGCCTTAATTTCAAGGCCACATTCATCCCACTCACCAAGCCTTAACTTCAAGGCCACATTCACCACCCCCACCTTATCCAACTTAACCAATCACAATCATTCATCTCCTCCTCTCCTTCATCCAACCTCAAGCTCCACCAAATAAAAGAAACAAAGGGTCCACCCCATTTTAACTCATACTTTTCAAGCAATTTTTACCCAAGCTCTCAACAAGTTCTACTCTAAGCTCTCTCAAGGCCACTTCAAAGTCCTCCTCCTCATGCCCAACTCCTAAGGCTCCACTCATCACCTCAACCTCTCCCAACCCAAGCTCATAACCATGTTCTCCAACTCTAGAGAAGCTTACGCTTCATAGTCTTTCTACTAGATTGTAAATCAATGGTTGCTCTTCAAGTCCATCATGTAACTCCTTTGGACTAGTGCATTTTAAGTTTTAAGGCCTCAACATCAACTTTGACTTTCTTCTAATCAAGACTCAAGTTTCACCTTCTCCACTCAACAATCAACATCTACTACTCAACAATCAAGCTTGGATCTCACTCTCCTTTCAACAATCAAGATTCACAATTCAAGCTTGGCTTCTTTAAGTTACAAAGCTCCTTCAAAATGACAAGTAAGAGTCTTTAAGGTAAGTCACATCCTTTCACTCTTGTCAAGCTTCTCAATTCAAGCTTCCCTATTTAAAGCTTCTTCATTTTTATCAAATCTCATTTCTTATTAAATCTTAGTTGTCATTATCAAGTTTGTTTAATTTTCAAGCTCCTTTACCTTTTCATCAATCACCCATTCAATACATTTCTTTCAATCAATTGTTCTTTCCCTTTAATGTTTTCATCATCTTCCTTTCAAGTTGTTATTTTTCTCTTTAACCTTCTTATTTAAAGCCTTCCAATTCTTACTTAATCTCTTCTTAAAGAGTTTCTTTATCTCATCAAATTTGTCTTACTTCACTCTTAACTCTTTCTTCTAGGTGTTTTTCTTTCTCTCTACTTGCTATTTACCCTTCCTAATCCTTTACTTCAATTTTCAAGTGAGAAACCCTAGAAAACAATTGGCGACCCAGGTGTTCAGTCATGCTAGCTAGGGCACTAGCCTGCTCTCTGCGCATCGAAAACCTGTCACCTGAGCTGAGACCTGATCACAACTGTTTCGGTAACAACTGGCCGCGAGGGGCTAACCTGCGCCAGAAAAGTGCGGATTCGCATTCGCCCGCCAACATCTACAGTTCAAGTAACCTGATTTAGCGCGGTCTGGTTGCTTCGCTTGTTCCAATCGCGCGATTCGCGAGCACCCCTGCAAAGCAGAGAGGCAATTCAAGCCAACCAGACACACCCCAGAGCGATATAATAAGCAAGTCCGTCGACAAACCAGACAACTCAAGTCTTTCGTCTGTCAGCTTAGGTGTGGATTCATTCCTACGACTTTTTACTCCCGAGAGTTTGTTTTTCTCTCTAAGCGATTTCAACATTCCTCGACAACGAGACATCTCTTCGTCGTTGTTACCGTAGCGTCACGCGGAGTCCTACTGACAACAAATAGCCTTGACCTAGAATTTAACCATGGCGCGGTTGTTACTCGTAGCGTCGCTCGCTCTCCTACTGACAGTGGCCTCCGCGGCGCCAAGCGTCGTGACTGGACCCAACAACCCCGCAGTGTCCCTCGCAGCGGCGCAGGGCGAGAACGGAGTAGCAACGGAGGTACCCAAGGGCATCGAGCAGGCGGCGGCGGCGGGAAATCTGGACAAGTTCGAGGGGACGACAATCGTGAGCCCAAGCACGGACAGCATGCTGCTGGTGGACGTGAAGAAGGCCGGGTGGAACGCCATGAAGTGCCACAAGGACCTGGGCGCGCCCGGGCAAGGCGCGTGCACGCCCGCCAACTGCAGCAAGGGCGGCATCCCGGCGAAATGGAAGACGTCGAATCTGCTCAAGAACAAGCTCGGCGTGGAGATGTACGTCAAGGGTAACCCGCTCACACTCAAGAAGGCGTCCCCGCAGACGTGCTGCAACACGTGCGCGTCGTTCAAGAGCTGCACGTACTGGCAGTACATCCCCGATATAACCATCGACGGCAAGAAGACGGAGGGCGCGTGCTACCTGGTGCACGACAACATCGACTACTCGTGCGGCGAGCTCACCGCGCAGTACGCCACGGACTCCAAGCCCATCGCGCTGCAGGTGCGCACGGGCGGCGAGTGCAACCCCGCCGCGAACGTCGTCAACGACCCGCATCTGGTGGGCGCGTTCGGGACGCACTTCGACTTCAACGGGCGGCCCGACAAGGCGTTCTGCCTGCTGACGGACCGCGACCTGCACGTGAACATGCTGCTGCGCGGGTACTACTCGGACGACACGGAGAACGCAGCGCTCGTGGTGGACGGCAAGGCCGTGCACACGTGGATCAAGGAGCTCGGGCTCGTGTGGTTCGCCAACGGCGCGGATCACAAGCTGCGCCTCGCGGCGCGCGGCGGCAAGCAGCAGGAGCGCGGCGACGGGTTCATGAAGACGATCGAGATCGACGGCGAGGAGATCCCGAGGATGGCCGTCGGCGACGAGGTGAAGACTGAGGGCGGCTTGACGCTACGATTTGCCGCGCTGGAGAAGGAGGGCCCGTATGACGTGGACTACTACACGCTCGCGATCGACGGGCTCGTGTCGCTCGACCTGCGCCTGCGCGTCGCGAACCCCAAGCTGCAGACGCCAAACGATGCCGAGGCGCACATCAACGTGGGGATTGTCGAGCTGGAGCACACCGACGACGTGCACGGCGTGCTCGGCCAGACGTACCGCCCCGACCACGCCGCGCGCGCCGCGGATTTCCAGCGCCTGATCGCGAACCTGCACCGTCCGATCTCGTCGGACAGCGAGGAGGGCGTGGGGTTCCTGGACGGCACGCCGCGGTCGTACGAGTCGAGCTCCGTGCTGTCCGTGGACTGCGCGCACACCGAGTACCACCGCGCCAAGCAGCTCAGCCCAGTCGAGGAGTTCCCCAGGGAGCCGCTTCACTGAACGAAGTCGCGCGCGAGCTGGGCTCGCGGAATGCGATCATCTCGAGGTGATAAGTATCGCTGGTTTGGTGGGATCAATTTGCCTACGCGCTAAGCATGGCTCTGTATTGTATACTGGCCCGAAAACGGCCCAATTCTTTTGTTGTAAATGAGTTCTTGACATTCATTTATGAAAATATTTGGCATTGATGTTCAGCTTTCTGGACCATTAGTGGTTTGAATTGGGAAGGTTCTTCAAACGAGATTTGAAACAACCTGTAACCACTTCTCCGAATTTTATCAACCTAATACCAGTTGGTCTACCAGACGCTACCTATCACCCTTCCTCCAAGCAAACCCCACTCATAATGCACAACACAGGTTATTGTTGCACTTATGGCACACTTGCAACAACCACAGTCATGCTTAAGAGGCAAGATGAGTCCATGGGCCTGGCTTGGTTTAAAATTGCACTCTGTACAAACAGCCAAGACTTGAAAACAAATTGCAGGTGTGGTCACGGGGTATTAATACCGTACTAAGATGACATGGATGAGCCATGCATGGTGGGAGGGGGATGGGGCATTCATCACGAGTGTATGGTCTCGTCAGAGGGGCATGGCAACGTTCATGAACTTGCGCTTGCTGAAGGAGAGCCACCACTTGTTGGGCGAGCCGTCGGGGAGATACACCAGCTGCAGCAGCCGGTTGCTCGTCTCCTCCCTCACACTCTGCAGGTACGTCCGCAGCGTCTCTGGTCCGGGGAGAGAGGGAAGTGAGGGGGAGGAAGGGGTGGGGTTGAGGGGAGGGTAAGGGCAGGTACACCAGCTGCAGCAGCCGGTTGCTCGTCTCCTCCCTCACACTCCGCAGGTACATCCGTAGCGTCTCTGTTGCGGAGAGAGGGGAAATCATAAGGGTTAGGGGTCGGGGGAGGATAGCTGGGGGTTGTAAGAAGGTGCAAGTGCGTCTACAGTCTCTGTTCCAGGAGGAGGAGGGAGGGAGGGGAAGGGGGTGGAAGGGGGAGGGGGTGGAGGGGGGAGGGTAGAGAGTGGGAGGCATGTGTGGAGGTTCGAGTGCAGGTAAAAATAAATCCCCACAGCTTTTGAGGCATTAGAAAAATCTCCACACATAAAGTTGGCTGGGGAGAGTGATCAGGAGAGGCTTTGTGGCCCCACGCAACTGCATCCAGGCCAGGCGGGTGGAGGGCGCAGCAAACAAGCTAGCAAGCAGGAAGCTGGGATTGCCCAGGATGGGGAGGGGCTGCAATCCCAGGTTGCAACCCCAGAAGCTGACAACCCCAGGTTGATGAGCTTTGAGTCGACTCACATCACAAGCCACGCCACGCACCTGCTTCCAGGCGACTGGTCGGTGTGGCAAACAAGCCAGCGAGGGGGAATCCTGGGTCGCCCGGAATAGGAAAAGGCTCCAATCCCAGGTTGATGAGCAGTCTAATACCCTCAGCCTCGGAGGGGCAGGAGTCGATGCGCTTTAGAGCCATGTTGATGTAAAGCGTGAGGTAGACCAGCAGCTTGTCCGCTGGGCCGCGGATGTCAAAGCGGCGGAACAGCACGTTGGCTCGGAAGAGCGTGATTGCCTCGTCCACTATGTCCGTCTCCTCTGGATGAGTGAGGGTGGGGGTTGGGGGTGTAGGGGTGGGTTGGGTATTGAGAAGAAGGGACGAACGAGAAGGACTCTCAGCATGCTGGCTCGAAAGAGGGTGATTGCCTCGTCCACTATGTCCGTCTCCTCTGGGTGAGTGAGGGGAGGGCGAGGCGGCGGGAGGTTATGGGCGAGTGAGTCGAAGGAGTGGAAGGGATTTATGGGAAGTGGCTCGAAAGAGGGTGATTGCTTTGTCCACTATGTCTGTCTCCTCCGGATGGTGGGGTGGGGTGGGGTGGGGTGGGGTGGGGTGGGGTGGGGTGGGGTGGGGTGAGTCAGAAATGTGAGAGAGATGGTTTTGACCTCGGAAGGACAGGCAATGGAGTGAGAGATGAATGGATGGCTCTTCGGAGACAAGAGCGATGGATCGAATGGCAGTAACTTCGCTGTTCTCTTTCTCTCCTTCTGATCTCTCGTTGTTTGAACTCCCAAAGCCCTGTGTTGTGAGCACGCGGAGGCGTTGTGCGAAAGGTGGTTACCAGTGGAGGCGTTGGGCGAAAGGTGGTTACCAGTGGAGGCGTTGGGCGAAAGGTGGTTACCAGTGGAGGTGTTGTGAGTGGGTCCTCTGGCGGTGGCTTTGAGCGGCAGCAAGGGGCAACCGCATGCAAACTCCACACCCTCCAAATGCGTGTAGGATGAGTGGTACACCTGCAGTTCCCAGGGGTGCAGAGTGGTATGGGGTGAGTGAAGTGCCAGGCATGAGGGGTGCGCCTGCTAGCACTGGTCAACACGCGAATCGTATCGCTCTGAGTAAGATACGCGTGGTACTGCTCGCACTCTACAGGTACACTCTACGGATCGCGACAGGGAGGGAGGAACCACACGCGACAGGGAGGGAGGAAGCACACGCGACAGGGAGGGAGGAAGCACACGCGACAGGGAGGGAGGAAGCACACGCGACAGGGAGGGAGGAAGCACACGCGACAGGGAGGGAGGAAGCACACGCGACAGGGAGGGAGGAAGCACACGCGACAGGGAGGGAGGAACCACACGCGACAGGGAGGGAGGAACCACACGCGACAGGGAGGGAGGAACCACACGCGACAGGGAGGGAGGAAGCACACGCGACAGGGAGGGAGGAAGCACACGCGACAGGGAGGGAGGAACCACACGCGACAGGGAGGGAGGAACCACACGCGACAGGGAGGGAGGAACCACACTCCACTCCGCATTCTACAACTACCCTCACCATGTCGACGCCTGATCGGTCGAGACTATCCGTGTTATCCCGATTTTGCTCTTTGGGACAGTCGGCGCGCTTTGAGATCCTTCACATTGGTCGAAGCGCGTACGGTGACGCTATTAGGGTCACTTATGATTGAAGGCGGAAGAAGGCAAAGCGAGAAACGGCTATTAAGAGGAGAAGGAGGAAGAACAGGAAATGTTGTGTTTGTCAGACTTGTTCCCCCTATCGTCTTTTCGTGGACGCAATCTCGGAAGAGGAAATGAGGAAGGAGGGCAGAAAAGGCAGCAGAGCGTGAGACTTAGTAAATCGTTGACGATGAAGCGGATTTGAGAATGGCTCTGCAGCGAACAAGAAAATGCGAGCCAATGCGGAAATGTCGTGGATTTTCCAGCCCCGAAAACCTACCATATGACAGAAATGCGAACTACAATGAGACAGAATATGACAGCTGACGGACAAAAGCGTATCCTGTGCCAGCCGGGAATCGAACCCGGGTCTGCACCGAACAGATGGCAGGGTGCTATTCTACCACTAGACCACTGGCACATTGGACGAAAAGTTTAGGGTACTTGTAAATTCATGACCGTAGCAGAAGAAGGATGCAGTAGAGAGATCACAGGGGCCAGAAAGGAGAGAGGGGAGATTGAGGTGAGAGGGACGAGAGGAGTGAGGGTCGAGAGAGGGGAGGGGAGAGAGGAGAAAGGGGAGAGAGAGATAGGAGAAAGGGGCGAGAGGGAGCAGAGAGAGGAGATAGAGGAGAGAGGGAGCGTAGTACCTTGTCCGGCTCATCCGTTGTCCTCTCTGATCTGGCATCAAGTAACAGACACATCAAGAATCACTACAGCTTCCCACTTCTGAATGTCAGAACATCCATCCAACACAATAATTTCACAACAGCATTATCAATCACTACATTCCCGCGATCTACTTAGCGCCAGCCCTCCCAGTGAGCCCCATCTCAACGCGCCTGATCTCAAAGATGAGCATGCGCCACATCTTGAGAACAAACATCTCCGCCTCCTCGTCCAGTATCGGCTCCAGCAGCCCCAGCAGCGCCGCCCCGCCCACGTGCTGCTGCGTCTTGGAGAGAATGAAGTCCACCAGGGTGGGCTCCTCCTCCCCCAGGAACTCCTGAATCTTCCGTGCCACCCACGGCCGCATGCGCTGGTGCAGGGCGCTCTGAGGGAGGAACGTTGGGTGGAGATGGTACAAGGGGGCGTGGGGAGACAAGAGAAGGAGACGGGAACGGGTGAGGGTGGTGAGGGGAAGTCGACGAGCCCAGCGTGGGCTCCCCCAGGAACTCCCGGATCTTCCGTGCCACCCACGGCCGCATGCGCTGGTGCAGGGCGCTCTGAGGGGAGCAACAAGAGAAGGAGAGGGGAGAGGGCGAGGGTGGTGAGAAAGAATCCCCAGGAACAGCTGGATCTTACGTTCCACCCATGGCCTCATGCGCTGGTACAGTGCACTCTGGGAGAGGAGCGTTGGGTTAGTGGGGGGGGCGGGGGGGGAAGGAGTGTTGGGTTAATCGGGGAGGGGGGGGGGAGGAGCGTTGGGTTAATGGTGGGGGAGGAGCGTTGGGCTAATGGGGGGGGGATGAGCGTTGAGCCAATTGGTGGGGCTTGAAAGAGGATGGGTGTTGAGGGCGCATGTGCTGTTGCTGTGCAGTCCGAGCGATGATGGAAATGATAGAAGGGGAAGCGGGAAGCAGGAGTCAATCACATCATGGCCTCATCTCATCTTGTCACGAGCTCACCACAGCACAACCAAGCCCCAGGTCTGCTCACCTCATCATAGACGGTCCAGTTGATGGGCTCACCTCATCATAGACGGTTCAGTTGATGGGCTCACCTCATCATAGACGGTCCAGTTGATGGGCTCACCTCATCATAGACGGTCCAGTTGATGGGCTCACCTCATCATAGACGGTCCAGTTGATGGGCTCACCTCATCATAGACGGTCCAGTTGATGGGCTCACCTCATCATAGACGGTCCAGTTGATGGGAACGGCAAAGAGCTCGTCCTTGCTCTTGGGAATGGAGTCGATCAGCGACTTCACATCCACCACCGCCTTCGGTCTCGCCTTCGCCTTCTCTCCCCCACCTGCACCCGCCTCTCCCCCTCCGCTCCTCCTCCTCTCCTCCTCCTTGCCCGCCCCGCCTCCCTGCGACAGTCGCTTGGCAAACTCAGCCGCCGCAGCAATGCTGGTCGCCAGACCTCCTGCACCAGCAGCAGCAGCAGCAGCAGCAGCTGGGGGGGCGAGAGAGGAACCCCCATGCCCACCACCACCGGCAGCAGCAGCAGCAGTGCCAGCAGCACCATCGCTACCCCCATCGTCATAGTCGATGGGAACGAGAGGGCGAAGTTTCTTGCGTGCCAGCTCCTCCTCGTCCTCCTCTGCCCCGAACACCGATGCCAGCGTGCGCGACTTCTTGGACGGTGCCGGTGCTGGGGCGCGGGTGGGTGCGGTGGAGGGGCGGGCTGCGGAGGTGGCGGCTGGCTGGGATGGTGGCGCTGGGGATGCTGCTGCTGGTTCCGCTGGCGACGCTGCCGCTGCTGCGTGTGCTGATGCTGCTTCGGGTGCTGGTGCTGCTGCCTCAGCTGGTGCTGCTGCTGCGGGTGGTACATGGGGTGGTGCGTGGCCCGCTGCTTTTTCAGAGTAAACGATGGGAGAGGGTTGGTAGGAGGGACGCGAGTAGGAGTGGAGAAATAGGGTGGTGAGAAAAAGAGGGATGGGGTGAAAAAAACAGGATGGTGAAAGCAACAGAAGCACGCAGACTGGGCAAGCAGAGGTGGTGGAAAACTGTGAGTTGGAAAGTGCAATCCCAAGCAGGACAGCCCTTCCTTCTTCCCACGGCCTTACCCCTTGCTACACCTTTGCACCACTGCCAACCGGGGCAAGTTCACAAAATATAGTACTGCACGCCCCTCCCTGTTCTTGGCATGCACAGCCACTGCTTGCATCCGTGCGGCCGCTTCCGACTATCTACCTGCCGCTCCCTCCCTGCCCCGCCCACCCTTCTAGTTGTTTCTTTATGATTCTAAGAAACCAGCACGGCTGCCAAACCTGGCATGCCACAAACCCAACTCATAGAACCGTACCTGCGCGGCCCTCTCTGTCCTTGGCATGAGCAGCCACGGCTCGCACCAGCGCATCCACCTCCGACTCCCTACCCTTCCCACCCTGCTAGGTTGCAGAATCAACAGTGCTGCCAGCCATACCATGCTACATACACAGGCAACCCAAAGTTCCTTACCTGCTCGACCCTCTCTGTCCTTGGCATGGGCAGCCACGGCTCGCACCAGCGCATCCACCTCCGACTCCCTGCCCCTCCCTCCCTGCTGCGACCCCCCTGCTCCCTCGCTTCCCGCCACCTGCCCTGCCTGCGCCCCTCCAGGGGAACCAGCCGCTGCAATAGGAGCGGCAGAAGGCGGGTGGAGGGACGGCAGGAGGTCTGCGAGACTGGGCAGAGAGATCTTCACTTCGGGGAGGGGCGGGGGTGCAGGCGCAGGTGGTGATGCTGGGGCTGCAGCACTGGCAGGTACTTCTGCTGCTTCGGTATCCGCTGCTGCTTCTGCTGCTGAAGCAAACCCATTGGTCGCTTCGCTCTTGATCAACCCGCCTGCTCCAATTCCGTCTGCACCACCCACCCCACCTTCATCACCCGCCATACCCCCCGGTGCTGCTGCCTCCGCACCTGCTGCACCAGCAGCTTGGCCTCCCAGCAGCACACTGGCCTCCCCCACCACCTCGCTCACAAACGCCACTGCCTCCCTCCTCTGCTGCTCCTCCCTCTCCTTCGCCTCCTCCCTCTCCCTCTCCTCCTTCTCCCTGTCCCTCGCATCCTCCTCCTCCTCCCTCGCCCTTACCCGCCTCCTCTCCTCCCAATACCCATCCCTCACCCTCCTCCTATAAATCCTCTCCTCCTCCTCACTGTCCTCCTCCTCCTGCTGCCGAATCAGCGCCCGCCGCTCCCTCTCCGCTTCTCTCTCTCGCTCTCTCTCATACGCCTTAGCCCGGTCCTTCTCCTTCTCCTTGTTCTCCATCTCTCTCTCCCTCTGATCACACAGTCTATCAAGCTCTCTCAGGTTCATCTCCCTGTCTCGCTCCCTGCGTCCCCTCTCCCTCTCCCTCCTCTGCTCCAGTCGTTCATACTCCCTCTCCTTGCCTCTCTCCTCCCGCTCTTTCTCCCGCTGCTCCCTCTCCTTCTCCCACTCCTTGGCACTCTTATGCTCGCGCGGTTTCTCCCGCTCCCTCTCCCCGTCTCTCTCCTTCTCCCTATCGTGCTCATCCCCCCTGTCTCTCTCCCTGTCTCTGTCCCTCTCCCTGTCTCTCTCCCTGTCTCTGTGCCGGGACCGCTCGTGGCCAGCATCATCGTCAGAATCAGCATCTTCCCTCTCTCTCTTTCTGCCCTCCCGTCTGTGCCCGTCACCTTGTTCACTTGATTCTGGAGGAGTATAACACATGGAAATAACCGATATGCAGCCACGGAAGTGGAAAACAGAAGGGAAAACAAAAAATACAAAAAAAAAAAATCGGAAACGAAGAAAAAGATAACAACATATATAAGGCAAACTGATGGTTAGTGCAGTGCCAAACTGGGAAGCAGTTATGAGTGGCAAAAACAACATTAGCAAGCGTGCAAGATCACACACACCAAACACATGCCATCACACGTACGCAGCCACACACAATCTCTCTGAAAACCCAGCAAAGAGTGTGTTGTTTTGTGATCACCGACACAAGCACAGCACCCACCAGCAGCAGACGTGTCATTCTCCTTGCTCGCATCCTTGAGAGGCGGTGGCGGTGGTGGTGGCAGCAGCTTCGCCCTGCAGAGGGACACATGCAGGCAGAGCACAGCAGACAAGGAGAATCAAGAGAAGGGGAATCAAGAAAAGGAGAGGTACGACAGGGCAAACAGATGGGGGCGTCAGCAGGGCAAAGTCCACTCAGCCATCACAACCCCAAAGAACTGGACAGTACAACAAGACCAGCACTCACTCTAAACCTTTTTTTTGGAAATTGGACCCTCAGCCCTCCACACCCACCCCTTCACCATTCTCCACCCATCTGTTACCTCTCTGCACCCATTCTTACCTCTCCTGCAGCATGCCATCAAGCTTCGCCAGAGCAGCCTCATCCTTGTCCTTATCTTCAGGCGTCACCAGCCCAAACACCTTCGCCTCCTCCTCCTTCCTCCTCTCCTCCTCTTCCTTCTCCTCTCCCTCCTCATCCTTCTCATCCTTGCCCTCTTCCTTGCTCCCTCCCTTCCCCTCCTCATCTTTCTTCGCCTCCCCTCCCGCTTCCCCTGCCTTCACCCCATCAGCCTCCTCACTCGTCTCGTCCTTCCCAATCGCCTTTTCCCCGTCGGCCTCACCCTCCCCTCCAGCCTTCCTGCCCTGATCAGCCACCCCTTTCCGGGAAGCTTCGAGGGCGGCAAAGGAGGCTTTCCTGGAAGTTACCACCCGCTCTAGGTACTCCCTCGTGGCTGCATTCACGTTCAACTGCCAACATGCGGTTGGGGTTGTGTGGAAGGCGGAAATGGGGGAGGTGGAAATGGAAAATGGGGGCGGGGAGTAGGCAGGTAAGAGAGGAGACAGGGAAAAGAGGCAGGGGGATAGGGGAGAGGGGGAAGGGGAGGGAAGGAGGAGGAAGAGCAAGCATCATGGACTTACACTAGCTCGCGCCCAATTACAAGCTGGGTGTGGATGGGCACGCAGCAGCAAGTTCACACCACATCATCACTGCACATAAGAGCACCCACCAGCAGGTTCTGCCCATCGATCTCGCGGCGGTTGAGCAGGCGCAGGGCACGCAGCACCCCATTGGCCACCAGCAACACACACCACCAGCTAGATCAACCCCAGCAACAGCACCCACTCGAAGGTTCACAACCCCCCAGCCAGCAGGCTCGCACATCCCCAACAGCACCCACCAGCAGGTTCTGCCCATCGATCTGGCGGCGGTTGAGCAGGCGCAGGGCGCGCAGCACCCCATCAGCCGTCTCAAACTCGCAGAACCCAAACCCCTTGGGACTGCCGCTCGTGGGGTCCGCCGCCCGCTTCCAGCTCCTCAGCGGCCCGCACAGCTGATTGGAGGCGGAAAAGGAGGGAGCGGGAGGGTGCCGGGTGGAGGGTAAAGAGCGGTGAGTTGGTGCTACGTGCATGTATGTATGCATGGACTAAAGTGTCACACTCGGGGCAGCCACAGGTAGGGGGTCCGCTCCGCCGCCCGCTTCCAGCTCCTCAGCGGCCCGCTCAGCTGGAGGGACCGGGGGGGGGGGGGTGTGGAATGGGGGAGGCAGAGTGGGAGTTGGGGAGATACGAATGGGGGGAGCGGGTTGGGGGGGAGAGAGGAGTGAAGAGGGGATGGCGGCAGCATGTTGACAGTTGGGCTCAACTCGAGAGTAATCCTTGGAGCCACGGCCACTGCCCCAAGGAGTGGAGTGGGGCATGGAGTGGAGTGGAGTGGGGCATGGAGTGGAGTGGAGTGGGGCATGGAGTGGAGTGGAGTGGGGCATGGAGTGGAGTGGAGTGGGGCATGGAGTGGAGTGGAGTGGGGCATGGAGTGGAGTGGAGTGGGGCATGGAGTGGAGTGGAGTGGGGCATGGAGTGGAGTGGAGTGGGGCATGGAGTGGAGTGGAGTGGGCTGTGGCTCGATTGCAGCTCCTGAGGGGTCTTGTGGACGCGAGGTCCACTCCAAGCAAGTATTGTATGGTATGGATGGAGGGATGGCGGTAGCGTGGGCTACAAGAGGATGACACATGGAAGAGGGCATTCTGGGTATCCTCCCCCCCCAATCCCCTCTCCCCCTCCCCCCTTCCCGGCCCTCTTCTCTCCACCTCGCCGCCTCCTTTTTCCCACTGGTGACCTTCACTTGCAATAGTCTAACAGAAAGAAAAGCAGCCACCACGGTTTCCACATTTAAGGTCATCCATTTGCGCCCTCCCATTCCTTTTTCCTCTCTCCTGCCTACTTCCCTCTCCCCTCCCCTCCCCTCCCCTCCCTTCCTCCTCTCTCCTCTCTCCTCTCTCCTCTCTCCTCTCCCCTATACTCTCTCCCCTCTCCCCCTCCCCCTCAACCTCCCGCACTCCCCCCTTCCCCCCACCCGCCTCACCTCCAGCAGTTTCACCACCAGCGTATCGTCAACAGAGGGCGCGAGCTTCCCCACATACACAGTCGTCTGCACCTTCTCCCCCCCCCACCCTTCTACTCTTCGACCAAACCATCCCCTCCCCTCCCTTCCCCCTCCCCCCAACCCTCCCACTAGCCCTCACCTCCAGCAGCTTAACCACCAGCGTGTCATCAACAGAGGGCGCGAGCTTCCCCACATACACAGTCGTCTGCGCCTTCTCCCCCCCCGCTCCCCCAGTTCCCCCCGCGCCTGCCCCTCCCCTCAACGCAGCAGCAGCCAGAAACGAGCTCAGAGGCGCGCCTCCCCCGTGCGGGGGCGCGGGGAGGCGCATGTTGGGCGGGGGGAGGGAGGGCGGACGCGCCAGCGCGTGGGGGAAGGGGCTGGGCGCGCGGGGCATTCCCGGGAAGGGGAAAGGGAGGGGGGAGGCGCCGGGGGGCGGGCGGAAGTGGTGCATTGGGGCTCCCGGGGGTGGGCGCATGAAGATGAAGTGATGCATTGGCATGCCTGGTGGGGGGAGGGGGTTGGGGGGAACCGGGAGGAGAGGGGAGTGGGAGGGAGGAGATGGGGGACAGAAGAGGGGAGAGGAGGAAGGGGGTAAGAAGGAATATAACAGTCCACGGATTCACAAGAATTAAAACTCACAAATTGTATAGCAGATTATACCATCAACAACACCATATACAAGGACTTTCTCGCATATGCAAATGGATTTTATTGTATGCAAAAGAAGATTACCATTGCAGACGATGAATACCACTGTTGATATTTAACATTATTGTATGCGAATGAGTAGTACCGTTTGTGAATGAACATTGCATGCACATAAATTAACAATTTTACTACCACATGTGGATGCAAAGCTGCTCGCCATACACGACCCACCAACTCATAATCCCAGCTCACCCGATAATCAGGAATCTATTTGCCTGCCTGCCTGTCTGCCTGTCTGGGTGCATGCCTCTTCCCGCCTGCGTGAAAGCCTGTCATGGACTGGTGAATCACTCTTCTTGGTGCATGCAGCACTTCTTCCCACAATCGCAAGTGGCTCATAAACGCAAAACACCCACAATAGGATGTCCAAAACCCTGACACCTGACAAGAGCCCCTCTTACCGGAAAATCAGTGTAGGTGAGTGTCCCGCTGTCTGCTCGCATTCCCGCATGCGCTTGCCAGTCACGAGCTGGCAGAGGGCTCATCCCCCCTTGGCAAGCACGTAAGTACCTCAGCTCAATGCTTCGCCTTTTGCCTTTGAAATCGTAACGGAAACAGCGGGCCTGGCCTGGCTTGGACAGACAGCTCACTGCTCCTTCCATGCACTAAGGACGCTATTAGCGTGTTCTTTGGCTTGTGCGTGATTACACAAGTCTTCAACACGCTACTCATGCAAAGAGCGTTCAGACTGAACACTAGCTGATGTGACGGTGCTTTAGGGCACGGAGGAAGGAGTGGGGCGCGGTGAGGAACGGTGGAGGAGAGAACGGTGCGGGGAGGTGCGGAGAGGTGACAAAACGGAGGAGAGAGAAGAGAGAAGGGGTGTACGACGAGATGAGAAGACGGACAGGAGACGAGAAGGAGACGATGACGAGGAGGGAGATGACGAGATGATCAGGAGACGTTGGGGGAGAACGAGAACGGTTGGAAGGGACAGGGGGGGGGGGCAGAACGACCAGACGATCTAAGCAAAAGACATACCGTCATGTGGGTTTGAAGGAGTTGAGTCGGCATGGCAGCATCAGCACCACCACTCATCCATATGGACGCGTGACTGTGTGCAAAGAGAAAGAGCAGCGCTCGGTTCCCCATATTAGGGTTTCCTTCCCGTCCCCTTCTCTTCGAATCACGGTGAGCATAAAACTGAATTACGCAAACATTCTACAGATCTAAGGCGAGCGGAAGTCGAGAATTAATGAGGGGAAAAGAGATACAAACTAATAAATCGCGGCGTCAATACCTGGCGGGGGCATGGCTCGCATCCCCATGGGAGGCGGAGGCGCGCTCGCATAGCCTGACGTGGACGGCGGCGCGCCCATGCCCATGGGCCGGCCGGCAGACGGAAATCCCGAAGACGGCACGGGTCCTCCTCCTCCTCCCCCTCCTCCTCCTCGACCCGCGCCGCCGGCCTGATTGCCGTCGCCGCTGCTCATTCCTTATCGCGACGCCTTCACCGACGTAAGTATGTCTCCAGCTATGGGACTTCAGGGTCGAGTCCGAGCAGCGGGATGGAACTCAACGGTCCTCGCATGCAGCTTAACAAACCGTATGATGACAAACCGTATCTGTCGTCGCGAGAAGCCTAAACTGAGAACCGATCCAAGTAAGCAATCCCTAGACTAGAAAATTGCCTTGGGAAATGGAGCAGATTTCAAGGTTTCTGAAAACCTCAAGAACAATCTGACGGCTGGAAAACCTCAACTCTAGATGCTCAATCTGCAGATTTGAGAGCGCGTTCCTTGAATGTCGAGACTCCCAACAATACACATGACATTCAACTCTGTCATTCCTCAGGGCGGGTCAGGCCTGGTTCGTTTTCAGTTCAAGTATCACTGTAGCAGTGCAAACCCCGTCCTCGTTGCATTGCAACTGTACAAGACACAGAGACAGAATATGACACTCAAATGAGGATTCGGCACCTGTTTTCATTTTGCCAGGATCGATCGTGTGAGGGATCGATGTGCAGCTTGTACAGTGTATTGGCGACATCGCCAATGCCTGGTATCCGTTTTCGCTGAACGTCGAGAATGTACAGTAAACGGGTACCCAAATCGGTGGCACCTGCAGCTCGCACGATCGATGTGCCGTGGTGCATGCGTTAGGGTTGGCGGGAGAGCATATCGCGCCACAGGTGACAGCCTCGATCGATCGGCGTCGCCCACGGTCGCAGGCCAAAAATTCTTGAGTCGCTGCGAATGGAATTGCTGGACGACCATCCATGCTCTGCCCTGATTGGCTGCGCGTTTAAGTGTAACGGCAGCTCCAACCTGCCCGAGCCTGCAATTTCGATCCAGGCACCTATAGCTCGATGTGTCTACCCCACTGCAAATTTGCAGTGTGGGCACATCGGTGTGCCGATCGATATGCCAGGATCGATGTGAGGCCACGATCCTTGTAAAATGAAAACAGGTGCCGCGTCCTGAGTTTGCGACGGATCGAGGCACAAGCGGCATTCTCGAGGCCATTCTCTACTATCAACGCTTGCCACTCCCTCTTCCACCTGAACTTCTCAATTGCGCTGCGATCATGCCCGCGACCAGCAACGCACTTTGCGCCGGAAAGGCGTTTTCACCGCCTGCTGCATCTTCTTGTTCGCCCCCGCGAGCGCGATTGCCTGGTAGCCAATCAGCCGTTCCGGAACTGTGCGTATCCAGGTCGCGGCTTGCCGCTTTCCCCGCTGCTTCGTCTATTCGCCTGCCTCCCTCAACCGTCGCCGTTTCTTCCGCTCGGTGCCGTCACTCTCGCCGCGGGCTAGCCCGCTGCTCCTTGCGGACCAGCGACCCAACCATGGATCGCCACGTGTACGCTCTGGATTTCGACGGCGTTCTGTGCGACAGTTGCGGAGAGAGCTCGCTGTCCGCCGTGAAGGTGAGGCGCGGCGATCCCGAGGGAGGTAGCGCGGATCGACGTCTGGTAATGAGTCGAGACGAGGGAAATCGCAGGTCAGATGAATCCAAAGAGATGCGAGGAGATGATGAGATTTCGAGGGGAGGTGACCTGTGTGGGGTGATTGCGAAGAGCAGAGGAGTGAGTAACGGTGTATGAGGTGACTGTAACGAGCGTACGAATGAGTGACAGTATACAGCTTGACTAAAACAGCCCTTTTGCCATTCTCCACAACTATCCACAATTCACCCAATCAACCCCCACTTCCCCTTTCCCCCCCTTCTTTCGAGCTTGCCGACACGCCATGTGCTCACCCCAGGCAGCCAAGTTGCGGTGGCCGTCACTCTTTGCTGACGTGTCTGCTGACGTGGAGGGGACGATTCTGAAGCAGATGAGAGAGGTGAGGCGAGGTGAGGCGAGGTGAGGAGGAGTGATGTGGAACGTTCAGGCGTCAGCAGACCTGGCGCTGACTGAAGAACTGATTTGTGATTGAGAGGAACTTGGCTGTGAGCCTTGGCTAGGGCCTTTGATGGAGGGAGGGAGGGAGGGATCTAGGGGACCGGTTGCCAGAGGCTCTCGCCTCTCATGATGCACATGACGTCGGCATCACTTGGTGTGGTGCAGCCAGGGCAGGAGTACAGCTGGTGTAGTTGCTTCTTATTCCGAAAACGCGGGAATGTGAGAACCCAAGCATGTGAGAATCTGAGCTTGTGAAATGGCTAAGCATGAGAATGATGTGATGGTGTGAGCATGCCCCCAATGTGTGTGAACCCATTCACTGCAGGTGCGGCCTGTGGTGGAGACGGGGTATGAGAACATTCTGCTGGTGCGTCTGCTGCTGGAGATGGCATGTGAAGACAAGCGCCAGTCCCAGGTGAAAGGCACAGAAGGTAGTCTCAGGTGAAAAGAACAGAAAAAAACTGTAACATGAAAACGACAATGGGTCTTTGTACGTGTGAAGTCAAGTTGGGTGAGTGAATCAGGAGAAGCAATGAGCATGTTCATGTTCATATGCACATACATATGCACCTGGACATTTACATCCACATGCCATTCGCATGCACATGCACATTCCTCTTTCTTTAGAAACTTCCACGCATTCCTTCCTGGCGCTGGCGTGGCTCTCATCACTCCCCTCACTCTCCTCTCTACCATTGCTCCCCTCACTCTCCTCGCTTCCCTCTCTACCATTGCTCCCCTCACTCCCCTCGCTTCCCTCTCATCAGCTGTCCAAGTCAGGCAAACTCAACCTACAGGCGATCCTGAGCGGGTGGGAGGGGGAGATCAAGCCAGCAGTGATGGCGGAGTGGGGCGAGGAGGGGCGGAGGGAGGAGCTAGTGGAGCTGTTTGGGGCGGTGAGGGACGAGTGGATGCGCCACGACCTGCCTGGGTGGATTGCCGCCAATGCCATGTATGCCGGCGTGCCTGAGGCACTTCAGAAGGCAGAGTCTCCGTTGTATATAGTCACCACAAAGCAGGTGTGTCTTTGTCTTCTATGCTCACAGCACAACACTTCCTCCCCCCACTTACACCAGACCAAGCTCCTCGCTTGCATGCATGCACACCTGCACACACCTCCCCCCCCCCCCCCCCCTCGCACATCCGCAACCTTGCTCTGTGTGTTTCCACTTCGTTGTGCCGCCACCAGTTGGGTTTGCCACGTTAACAACCGTGCCAGAGTACCTTCAGCGCATCCCTGCTTCATGCAGGCCGCTAATCCAAGCCTTGTATATATATAAAAAAAAACTCCAAGAGTCTTTACCTTCTCTGTGCGCCCCTCCCTGTGCGCCCCTCCATGTGCTCCCAGACCCGATTTGCCCTTGCGCTGCTGCGCGAATTAGCGGGCGTTGATTTCCCAGAAGATAAGGTCTTCGGGCTTGGTACCGGGTGAGTGGTGTCAGGTACTTTAGACACAACCCAACAGGGATGGGTACTGGCTTAAGGACTATGGACAGCTTGTGGGAGAGGGACCTGTTGGGTGGGTAGTACACTCTCGCAATCTTTATGGGTGGGCAGAAGAGCATAAAAAGCCTTATGTGTTGGTCTTATGTAACAACAGGTATCGTCACCTGGCCTTATGCGTCACGGTTTCCTATACATGCCCATCCTTCCCACATGCTTGCGCCATGCCTTGTACTTTCTCCCACTCCTCTAGGCTGGGAAACAGCCTCCCGTCCATCCAATCCTAATCCTCCACACCGAAAGGGGTCCTATAATGCCCGGCCCTGCCTCGCTCCCTTGTCTCCTCCAGGCCCAAAGTGCAGACACTGCAACACCTGCAGTCGCTCCCTCAACATGAAGGCTGCTCCTTTCAGTGCGTCACCCCTTTCCATACAATTTTTCATGTTTCCACGCATTGCTTTTCCTCGAATCTGGCTCGAAGGTTCCCGCCGTTTTGTCTTGGTGGTTTTCAGCAGCAGAATGCGTGCCTCCTCACAACTCTCATGCTTGCCTCACCCGTAGTTGTTCTGATTCCATGGCAGCTTTGTGGAGGATCGACTAGCCACGCTGCGCAATGTCATCAGCACACCACAATTGGATGGCTGGCATCTGTACCTAGGTACGGTTGTCCGCATGCTTGGTGCTGTCACTGACACACTGATTGCTCAGTCTCGGCTCTTCTCTTCTCTACGACAGCTCTCCTGTCGCAAAATGATTCAGGCGGTGTGTCTTAGCCCGTCCTCCCCAACTGTTGATCTCACTCAACACATGTAACTTCTTGTTCTTGTAGGCACATGGGGCTACAACACAGAGCAGGAGAGGCAAGATGCAGCACAGATTCCCAGAATCCAGATAGTTGACCTGCCTGACTTCTGCGGCAGCCTGGAATGAAGGGGGAGCCTTGCGGTTAGGGCCCAATCGTTGTTACTGGTACGGTATCCCACATGAATGTGGTTCAATTATCAGTAACACTTGCTCGCTCTTCAGAACGCCAGAAACACTATTGGGCATGAGGTGCCCATCAGACTTGGTCAAAATTGGCATCTCTAGTCATGCATCAGCTCATTGCCAGGACAGTTCAGTGGTTAACCTTTGATGCGATTGAAACACTATCTAAACCCAATTTGATACAATACAGCAATGCATCAACAGGCAGCCAAATCATTATCAGAAATGGCAAGACTAGGCACTTTGCTGTAGTCTTGATTGCAACCGCTCCCTCTCCCTTGCAAGCTGTTGATGAAGGGGGCGAAATGGGGAGGCAGGCACAGAACGTGGGAAAGGTGAAAACGAAGATGCAAGAGTGCAAGTGATTGACTAGGGCATCATTAGGTATGGTTGCATGGAAAACAAAAGCAACAGATTGGATGGAAAATTGGAGAGGCGTGGCACACCTATTAGGGTGCATTCCTGGCACACGTCTCAAAAACCTCGCGTCACAAAGTCGAGTCACAGTGCTGTGCAAACAATTGACCTGGAGGTTTCACTGACTTGTGACGCCTCCTTTTGAGACGCGACTTTGCAGTAATGTACCCTTAAACCATACATAATTACTCTCTCCCTCGCTTTCCCTCCCCACCTTTTCCATCCTCTGCCACCCTGCAATGCTCACTCGTAAGCTCACTCTTCCTTCCTCTCCCTCTAGCAAATGATGTCACCTGCCACTCCTTTCCAACCATCTCAGATTCACACTCAATCCATCGCCTTTCCAATCTCTCCATTCATGAACGCATTGTAAGATGTTTCTTCCTCATTTCAGTCACATTTGCCTTCCAGCCATTCAAACCGTCAGAACTTCTTGGGGACTCCCACTTCCCTGATAGACAGTGACCGACTGAGACCAGAGAAGGAGAAATGCACGTGCTGCTAGGAATGATGGATAGGACTTACCACTTTCCTCACTCGCTCGTTGGCTTCAGGCGAGCCTCCAGTCACATTCTCTGGCCTATATGGACTCGGAACCTGAACCTCGTCCATGACAATGATTTTTGTCTTGTCCCATTTGCAAGGCAACCTGCATCCGCATCACAGCATGAGTAAGGAGAACGTGGAAACGGGGAACGAAATATACAATTGAACAACAGCAGTCGTGCATCCGAGGTTTATGAAAGCATCTCACGTTTTACATAGGGCGAAAAATATGTCTTGAGCCTCTGCAGTTACCCCGACTCCTATTCTTTCCGCTTCGCCCTCCGCTTTCCTGTCATCAGGTCAGACGAAAAGCAGTCAGAGTTGAATTCAGGCTAAATCTAAAATGCAACCGCAAAAGCCCTTGAATTCTGGAGTTATCTAGGTCTTACCTGACAGCGGCGTCCTCCTTCGCGTGCAATACTGCTAGGTCTACATACGGAAGCCGAAGGGAGGCGATCTCCTCAGTTTTTCCCAGAACAGAGAACTCCTCGATCCGATCGGCCTTTATGAATCGAATGTTCCTCTTCGGTCCCCGGCTGTTTAGATCTTGTGTGCAACGAGTTAAGGAAGAAACCCTAGAACGATGGAGCGGAAGAGCAGAAAGCAGTTTGCGTACAAGACAGGATACAAAGCAATTTCGAAACATCAAAATGGGATTGTAGAGCATAAATGTGGTGAGAAGAAAGGGAAAGGGTGAATTGTTGAAAGGATATGAAGTATGACGCAATTTGTGGAGGCATCGAACGCGAGGACCTCCCCTTCCAGCTGCTCCCCTAAGGTCGTCTTTAGCTTGAGCTTGCAACCTACTTCGAAGCCGCTGCCGGGGCCATCCATGAAAGAAGCTGAGGAATCAGCGGGTACGCCTGCAGGACCAGACTTATCATTCCCTAATTAGAACCGAATGCATTCCCAGGAGATGAAGGATCCACCTGTAGCGACCATAACACCAACCAAAGTATATACCAGCCTCAGCAAAAATTACTTCCACTGACAGATGCAGACCATCAGAATCTGCTAACTTCCTCTTTCCCTAGCTCTTCCTTGTTGCTAGTTTCAAGTCCGTCCGTCCCTTGGCTCTCCTGATGCCTGGATGATCGTTTCACCCGACGATCTCAACAACCACAGCTCACAACCACAGCTAAAGCGGCTGAGCTACACTTGGAATCAATTATGGATTTACACAACAAATCTATACCTAAAGGAAAATCTCGTTCAGGCTGCTGAAAAAACCTATAAATCTCTTGTTGCGTTATACTTACGTGCTTTCCATATGAGCTTCTTTCATATTTCCGAATATATGGTCCTGCTATTTGGTTTTTCTGTGTGATGATGAAAAAACACCTACCATATTTTATTTGTAAATCCTACTTGAATCATTAGTTTTTTAGCTTTCCCATATAGATACCTGAAAACGTGTGGCCTGCATCTTCTAGGAGTGGTACGAATTCAGCCTATAAACAGTTTCTGTCCACAACAGTTACGACTCTGAGCGTATCTGCATGTCTAATGTGTACTAACATTCACCAAAAAAAAAGTTTCTTTTAGCATGAAATTATAAAGTACACAGAGAGCACTCTTACTGCAAATATTTCGTATATTCTTCCCGAAATCCGAACCGACACCTATGTGGATATCAGCGCGAACCTATGCCGTCAGATCCTCCCCCTTGCACACAGGTTGCACCATCCTAGGAGGTAGAATTCCTATTGGCTGTTCCTGCCTAGTCGAATTTCTAGGGCTGGTTCAAGGGCTATCAGCAGTTCCCTGCTCATGCATTTCATGGCAGTCCCAGCCACATTTTACCCACATTTCACTCCATTCCATTCCATTCCATTTTATTCCAAATCCTTAGCAGTTGGACCAGGATTCTGCTTCTAGTGTTGCACGAGTTCGTCTCCAACATGGCAGCGATTTCTCAAGCCTCCCATGCAGCTGCTCTTAGAGTTCGGTCACAGTTTCCAAGCGTAAGCCGCAGCAGCGGTGGTTCATCTTGCCGTCAGGTTCGTTACGCGTATGTTTGACCTTCGTCGATCGCGGAGGCTTACTTGGTCAGTGAATTGAGGGTCCTTTGGCTTGACCAGTTCAAGTGCTCTGGCTCATCGTTTCTCTCTCTGATAGAACTCGCATTGTAGCTCGCTGACCTTATTCTACCGAATGCTGTTCGCGACTTACCGTCCTGATTACCTCGCATTGTCCGGCCTTTTCGTCTAACCACCGCATAATTCCAGCTACTCGCCTTAGTCACACTACTGCACGCTATTCTGAATGCATCTGCACCTTCGTCTGTCGACTTGCATCCCTCCTGCGTCACTTCGGCCCGTCAGAGTCCATCCGGCGCTGCTTTCAGTCGCTCGTTTCAGTCGACGACGCGCCAGCAAGCATGCAGCAGCAGCAGACGCCAAGCGGCACTCGTGCATGCGTCGACGGTCGCCACCGACCTGAAACAGGTGAGTGTTGGTGATGGTATATTTTACTAGACAAGGTACAGCTGATGAGAGTCAGTGATAGTGAATAATACTAGGGTTACTTTTGGGAAGAAAGTGGCTTTCGCTTTTAGGCCCAGTTAACTTAGTTCAAGACATCGAGGACCTATGCGGAGACTCGGTGCTAGCTAACAGCAGCCTCGTAAAACGCATTTCCATGCAGAACCATACGACTGATTCTTTCTCCTGTGTACTCTCTCCTCACTTGGTTTCCTCTGTCATTGACGCCATTCACGCCGTTGATGCTCCCCCAGGTGATTCAGCAGCTGATAGAGCGCAAGGACCTGACACAGGAGCAGGCACAAGCGGCAATGGAGGGTCTTATTGCTGGAGCAGAGGCGGCGCAGATTGGCGCCTTCCTCGTGCTGCTGCGCGCCAAGGGGGAGACGCCTGAAGAGGTGAGCATAGGGGGCCAAGAGACGGGTGGCAGTGGCGGATGGCGATGATGTGGTGGAGTTGGAGTGAAGCAAATGATTGGCAGAGCACTTTTCTTCCTGGCAATCAAATTAGTAATAGGAGACGGGTGGCAACCAGAGGTGATAACAGCAAGGGGGGGTAACAAACAACAATTATTATTGCTTTCTTGGGCTCTTGGGTGAACCCAGGAGGAAGACAGCACAAGGTGGTAACAGCAGCGGGTGTTAACAGCAGAAGGGAGGACGCTGGCTGAAGCAAAATGATTTCTTCTTTCTTTCTTGGGCTTTTTTGGAATTATCAACATTGCCTCCTACTTCCTGTCTAGGCAGCATCCTGGTAGCTGCAGCTACGAGGGGCACTTGCACTTCCGAACACCTTTATCTCCTTTCGCTCACTCCAGGTGGCAGGGCTGGCAGCGGCGATGAGGAGCATGTGTGTGGAGGTGGCAGCGGGGGACAACACATTGGACATAGTGGGCACGGGGGGCGATGGCTTTGACACCGTCAACATCAGCACTGGCGCCTGCGTGCTCGCTGCTGCCTGCGGTGCCCATGTCGCCAAGGTGTGTGGGTGTGGCAGGACAGTAGTTGGGTTCGGCACACTTGGGGTTTTGCACACTTGCTCAAGTACTTGCGCCTTCCCACTTGGGGTTTGGCACTCGATGCACACAAGAGTGTTGATGGGATTTTAGCTGCTGATTCACTACGCTGTACACCCCCCCTCACCCCATCCTGCCCGCCCACACCCCTGGAGCAGCACGGCAATCGCTCGGTGTCGAGTGCATGTGGCAGTGCGGACGTGCTAGAGGCCCTCAACGTTGAAGTGGACCTCGGCCCTCAGGTAAGACCTTGCTGCATGATGCAGTTGGGGTGAAAGGTGGACCTTGGTGCCTGGATATGTGTGGAATGGAGTGCAGATGACGTGTAAGGGATAGGTGTTCTTTCATTATCAATGTTTGACTATGCGTTTTTCTGCTCCCACTCGAACGTTTCTCACCTGCTAAAATTTCAGTGTTACTTTGTCGCTTAGCTTTCTCCCCTTGCAAATCCACTGTTCCAACCTTTTGACAAGTCTCAATTG